GCACATGAATGGCATAAGCAGTTGGCATACTGGCCGGCTCCCGTATCTCGCCTTTCCGCAATCGCAGTCGTCGCATGGTAGCAGCGAGTTTACAGAGGGCTTGTCGATTTCGATTCTGTAATTCATTTAGATTCAGCCGACCATGGCAATGTCGACGAATATCGATGCGTGTCCGAATAATACAGTTCCAGCATGAGCGAACATCAAGAGCAGCACGAAACCATGGATTTACGTTGGCAACAAAAGACCTGCCAATGAAGCCCTGTCCCCCAGCCTCGTATTCATATACGTTGCGGTTGCAATGAGGACTATCGCGCTGTTGGCGTCTTGGGCGAGCGTCATGCTCGAAGAGAATAAACACTTCAAACAGAATAATATTTTCGTCAAGCATCGCCTTATCTGCAACAGCAGCAAGGAAGCGAAGAAGGCGCTCAAGTACGTTGCGAAGCTGCAAAGCCGTCGCAGGATCAGCGATCGAAGCTAGTGGAATCCCCACGCCGTCAACGAAGAGCCGCAACAGCAATTCTCGAGCCTCCCACCAATGGGCAATTGCACTCAAAGAGTCATCATTAATATGGCGCAACTCTGCAACATTGAGATAGGCTTCGAGGAGCAGCAAGGGCTCGTGAATCACGGCGGCAAGCTCTAACGCGTGGTGCACGGTAGCAAAAATATCATCAGACCTCCTCATACCACCTCGTAATCGCTGTGAGCTCGGCGCGTTGGCTAGCTTTTTTTTTAAAAATATTGAACCGAGATGGAGGGTGGCAAAAGAAGATGCAGCACGTGCTACGCCAAATATATCATCTGTAGCTCTGAAGCACCCGAGAGCGTGACGATACCAACGCAAAGCATCAACTTGCAAGTCCATGGCATTATCATACGAACGAAAATGGCGTGACCGGGAGCGACCCAAACTCTCGTCGCTCATGCGGCGGCATTCAGATTTCAGCCCAGCCGTCAATAGATCAAACCTCTGGCAATGGTAATGAGATTCGCTGGAGTTTGTAACCAAGTCATTGATGTGAAAGGGGAAGGCCTCGGCACCCTTGGCGAGTTCTACCTGAGCACGCCCACGAAGTTCATATAATGAGCCAAGCTCACTGAGCCCCCTTGGGGTCCCAATATGCGAAACAGCTGCTTCCACGGCAGAAATTGTTGAAGCTAGCGCCTTCAGGGCCTGTTTGGCATGTCCCGCAAGCAAGGCCACTTCTGCAACAAGTTGACCGAGGTCAACATTCTCATCACAAAAAGTGACGAGCTGACCCTTAGTAAATGCATCCCACATTGGTTGATTCAAATCACTGTGCGATGACCTTATCACATCGTGCGCAGGGCACCCAGAACGTGTGTAGACACAAGCGCACCAACGAAGACGCTCCAGGCGCCGTAGGGCCAGCCGTGCGCCCGAAACATTTCCCCTGAGCACCTCTGCTCTTACAAGATGGGATAAAATTGCAATTCGCCGCCGATGTGATGTAGGGCTGACTTGCAGTGCTCGTTTGAGACAGACAGCTGCCGAGGCTGGCTCACACTTCTCTATTGAAGCAATACCGGTATTTAGGGCAACTGTTTGCAACGCTAGTCCAATCTCATAATACATGACTGGAGTTGTGCAGTGTCGTCGTCGTCGCAAGAGAGACATTTGTAGATCCTGTATTGAAGAGTGGGCGTTAGGAGCGCTACCCACATTTAAAAATCGCGAGATGAGAAGCTCTGTGGCATAAATGAGCTCGTGAAGGTCGTAGGTCGCAATACAGCTTAGAGCGTGTGATTTAGCTAGCAGACCAGTGCTTTTTGCGCCCCTTCGTTTAGTCAAATGGGCAAAGGCACGGGTCCTTTCGCATTCGAAACACTCGCGCATGTCTCTCAAAACATGCGTGCAATGGTTGGAGCTCTGTTCGCTTTGGCGCGCTGAAACTACGCACAACTCGCGTTGCAGTTTTCGTCTTCCGTCAGAGTCGTCACGCAAAGTCAGTATAGCAACACACACGTCAAGAACTAGCACTGCATACGCATGTTTTGCACGCCGTTCAAGCGCCCTGGCAAATGCTCTCAACACTGTGTACCCCATGGAGCACGCAAGAACAGAGTATGCAGTCAGTACTGGGTCTTGTTGATGTGAGAAAATGACTGGGTCTAATGGGCCTTCATATCGATGTGCATGGAATGGCAAATCAACCTGTGAGGTGAAATAGTTTCGCTTTCATGTGAGATTGCGGTAACTCTGGTGTAGGGAAACAGGTTCCATTGCCGTGTGCTGCTCCAAAACGCACGTGGCCTCAAATAGTAACATCTCCGCAATACGGAGCTGCTGTGTTGCGACATGGAGGGCTTTGCGTCCGCGCCGTAACTTCCTTTTAAAACCTCTTCCCTCGTCCAGAGTTGATGTGCAATTTATTCTTATTGTTGCTTTATCATCACGAAATCGCCCAACACCTTGAAGATAGCTGAGCCCGAGGGCAAGTGCAGCCTTGCACGG